AAAAAAGCGAAAATGGCTGTGTAAAAGTACATGTAAGTAACATAGTAGTTACCATTCTTTGTATTCAGTGTTATCTCTTTATTGAAATGCTTTAAGACAAGGTATCTACGCTGAATACCTCCAATCTACATGATCAGTATGCTTTTTGAGAAATCATCCGGAGCACACTTGTTGGGTAAATAATCGATGATGTAACCGCAAGTGGAACATTGTAGCTTCTATCTGCAGATGAGCCAAGAACGGACTACGAACTGTACTATGCTAGCTATGTCGGGTAGTGCCTTTTTGTGCCTCCACTTGTAAATTAGAAGGAATAAACGAAACGTCTCCAGCTGATTCATACGCGATGGCAATTTACCACATGTGGCGAACGACAACGTGTGTTTAACTCGTTCTCGAAACTTCGAGTTGCAATAAACTGCTCACTTGTCATGCTTCTCTAGAACGATATACCTAACGTTTAATTGTCAACGTTATCCACAAAATCCCAAAAAAATGCCAAGAAGACAACAATTGTTTAGCTCCGCTGTCATCATAGATGACAGAGTGGAGATGTTCATATGGATGATTGCATGTCGTCAATCAACAATTGAATTGTCGACTTCTTAAAAAATACCAGATAAATTGCTTTGATACTCGATACGTTGGATTTCTTGTGCACAATTATGTCACCTTTGTTAATTTCATGATGATATGCTCAATTCTTTATTTTTTGAAAAAAATATTTTCAATTTGTTTGGAAAAAATGCAATTTTCAACTTCATCTCGAACACTACTAGCCCAATTACTTTTTATTGAAACTACCTGCTTAATTGCTTTGACACCTAATAACGATAGTATATCATTCTCTATTTTTGATGATAATTTCCACTTTTTCTCAGATCTGAAGACCCAAATGCTTTGATTTGATGTAGGTACCGTTGGTGAACTTCTGACAGATTGTTTCATGTGATATGTTATTGCGCAAAGCTATGCCACTAGTGGATATATAACAGTTTTTGGGCCAGATTTTGACTCATTTCTCCTAGGTAAATGTTACTATTATATTCAATATGCATCTTCACCTATGTAAACTTCATGGAAATGTGCAAGACTTCTAGTTTACCACATTTATTTACAAGAAGGACGTTTGGCGATCTTGATATATTCTGTTGATTTAGTTATTTTAAAGACTGTATTATCAAGTATTTGTATACATAGTGTAGTGTAGTGTTTGTATTTTAATAATACATTGCACGTGTTTTTAATGTCTATGTGATTTGATAGTTCTGTTATAATAATGCTGATTATCTGAAAACATAAATAAATAC